CTGGAGGGGAAGGGTGGGCAGGGATACAAGTGCAACAATGAATGAATGGAAATCCAAAGTCTCTGTAAACTTTCATTAAAATTAATAATAATAATAAATTAAAAATAGCTTTATAAAGTAGATTGAAAAGAAATTAAAACAGAAATACTTTGAAATAGAATTTTTTTTAAACTTAGAAAAGAATGTAAAAACATAGAGACGAAGGTTCAGAGACACCATAACAAATATGGAAAGTAAAATGATTCACTAGAGTGGAAAAACTATAAAGAATAGTGGATAAATAGCAGAATGAGGGAAGAACAGAGTAAAAGATAAGAAAGACATGTATATGCATAGGACTATCCATTGGAAGAATAAAGCAGAAATTTTGTTTTGTGACTGCTGCCTTCTGAAGATTATAGTGTAACAGAAATGTGTGAATAAGAATCACATTTTGTTGTTGTTATACACTCACGAGTCAGGACCAACTCAAAGCTGACCCTCCAGTATTTTTTTTCAGAGGCTGTAAATTGCACAGAATGAGACTGCCCATCTTTCTCCCATGAAGCAGCTGATATACTTGCATCACATGCCTTTGAGTTGGCAGTGCAGAATCATATAATCATATATAAACACATAGTGTCATGAACATGCATGTAGAGTACATGGAGAACACATGAAGCTGGAGGAAGAAAGTTTATTCAGGTTAGAGAGACTGAAAGTGTCTGATGAGATGTGAAGTTTGGGTAGGCAGTAACCATGCAAAGAAAGAAAAAGAAAGCTTAATATAACAGGAAGAGTTTGTGAAAATAATCAGAAATGGTAAATGTGCTTGTTTAGAGAAAATGAAAACGAATTCATTTGGGGCACAGAACAAGTCATGTATGACTTTCTGAAAGTTTTCAATCCCTAAGACTTTCATACACTCTTATTTACATCACAGGATAGAAGATATTACCAGGTCCTTTTTTCATGGAGAGTCAGAGTGTAATGATCAGCAAGTTGAGGAAGTCTAATTAATATTAAACTTGCCAATGAGCAAGTGAGAGTTAACCATGAAAATAGCACTTCAGAAAGAGAAACGCATAGAAAACTACAGAAATTATAAGTGGAAGGACTCATAATTAAGTCTGAAAATTTCTGCACACTTTAATTTTTAAAAATATGAGTTTGAAACACAAAACTTATGAAGTCAGTCCTGGTATACAAAAATTATGTTAAGAGTAAAACACATAAACAGTAACTACAGCAAAAAATTGCTGTTGTGTTCCGATGGCATAACAGCTATAATTATGTTGTTGTTATTACTATGTGCTGTCGAGTCACTTGCGACTCATAGCGATCCTATGTATAACAGCCCTAAACCCTGCTCTGTCTGGTGTCAATCTCACTGTCTCCGACACACCCATCCCAATTACCCCAGTCACTGAATCAATCTACCTCATAGAGGGTCTTCCCCTCCTGTTCTGTCCCTCCATCTTCCCAAACATGATGTCTCTCTCCAAAGACTGATCCCGCCTTGCCGCATGTCCAAAGTATGTCAGACGAAGCCCCCAGAATCCTTGCCTCCAAGGAGCTGCCCTGTTTAACCCTCTCAAGGATGAACCTGTTTGTTTTCTTAGCAGTCAATACTCTTCTCCAGCACCACAGCTCAAAGGCATCAATTCTCCTTCTATCCTCCCTAGTCATTGTCCAACTCTCTGATGCATAACAACTGATTGCAAAGACTATGGCCTGTATCGGGCACACCTTGGTCTCCAAAGTGACACCATTGCTCTTCAGCACTTTGGAGAGGTCCCTAATAGGAGACTTTCCCATCGCAATACATCTTTTAATTTCCTGGCTGCTGGTGCCAAGAGTGTTGACTGAGGAGCCAAGCAAACTAAAGTTGTTAACAATCTCAATCTCTTCCATCCTGATGCTCACCCATATTTAAAGTTAATATTACTCTTATTATAATGACTCAGAAAGCTCCATCTCAAAGAAGTACCAAATTTACATAACAAGTAGATGCAGCTAAAAGCTTATGTTATGAAGCTATGCCACATGACTGGAAGTCATTAGCCACAAAATGACATTTAAACTTAGATTATTTAAGACGAAATAAAATTTCAGCCACACTAGCCATTTTTCAAGTACGTAGTTAGCTGCTACCATATTCATGTGTGGCATCAAGATTGGAGGACGACTGATCAACAGCTTGTATTAGGCAAATGACACATTCTTGTTTGCTGAAAGTAAGTAAGACTTGAAGGACTTATTGCAGAAGATCAAAAACTACTGCCTTCCAGGATATGAACAGACACTTCACTGAAGAAGATATTCAGATGGCTAACAAGCACATGAAGAAATGTTCAAAATCCCTAGCTCTAAGAGAGATGCAAATTAAAACAACTATGAGATATCATCTCACCCAGGTCAGAATAGAAAATTTAACAGAAAATTTAACAAAATTTAACAGAACAGCAAATGCTGGCAAGGTTGTGGAGAAACTGTATCCCTTATTTACTGTTGGTGGGAGTGTAAAATGGTGCAACCACTGTGGAAGGCGGTATGGTGCTTTCTCAAAAAGTTACAAATAGAGATACCATTTGACCCAGCAATTCCACTACTGGGAATATACCCCAAAGAGACCATAACTGACATCTAAGTAGATATATGCACACCCATGTTTATCGCGGCTATGTTCACAATACCAAAGAGTTGGAAACAAACTAAGTGACCATCAACAAACGCATGGATAGAGAAGCTGTGGTATATTCACACAATGGAATACTATGCTGCATTGAAAAACAAGGAACTCATGCAATATCATTAAAAATGGGTGCCTCTGGAGGACATTATGCTGAGTGAAGTATCTCAGTCACAAAAGGACAAATACTACATGGTGCCACTGTTGTAAAACAGGACTGACCTTGGGGTTGGAGAGAGACTGAGAAATATGGGCTCAATAATGTATACTGCTTTGAAACAGTTGAGGTAGAAAATGGTTTAAAAGGGATATGTGATTAGGTATTTTTGTCATGACAGGAGTGTAGAGCGAAGGCTACATGGTGGAATGGACCTGGGGGAGCGTTTGTAAAACAATGAAAGAATTTGTCTTTTATTTTTCCAAGAGGGTAATGTACTAGGGGGAAGGGTTGGGAGGGAAGAAAAGTGCAACAATGAATGAATGGAAATCCAAAGTCTCTGTAAATTTTTACTGAAATTAATAATAAATTTAAAAAACAAACAACCACATAAAAACCCAACTACTGCCTTCAATATAGATTGTATCTCAAAGTCAAGAAAACAAAAATTGCATCAATAGGTAACATTATGATAGATGGAGAAAAGATCAAAGTTGTCAATGATTTAATGTTACTTGGATACACAATCAACATCCATGACGTTATCATACAATAAATTAAAATATGTGTTACACTGGAAAAAATTTGCTGTCAAGATGTCTTTAAAGTGCTAAAATTCAAGGATATCAGCATTTTTAATTTAAAAATTAAAGCATACTTAATCCTAGCCAGAGTATTTTCAGTTGTTTTGTATGGATCTGAAACCTCAACAATTACTAAGAAAGACCAAAGAAGTGAATTGTAGTGTTGGCAAAGAGTAATAAGTATACTAAGACTGTCAAAAGAACAAATAAATTTGTCTTGAAGGAAGCACAGAAAAGGCTGCTTCACAGAGGCAAGGATGGTGCAACTTTGCCTCATATACTTTGGACACGTTGGTAGAAGGCGCCAATCATTGGAAAGAGACATCATGCTGGCAAAAAGGAGACAATCTGAGAAAGCAGGAAAGCCCATCGAAGAGATGGGTTGAAATAGTGATTGATTGTAACCATGGGCTTGGGCATGGTGGAGATTGTGAGGATGATGCAGGAGAGGGCAAGGTTCTCATCTGTTACTCAGGGGGTCATTCTGAGTTGGAATGGACACCGTGGAACCTAATAAAACATGTTGAACAGAGCATATGTCGAATATTTCCATCATCTCAGAAATTACATTGGTCAGTGGTGCTCACACTTTTTATGTTAATAATATCTCTATATTTTGTCACTTACCAGGCTAATGGACTTGTTAATAGCTTATCAGTTAAGTTAAACCTTTCCTTCCTAACACATTCACCCTTTTGCTTACCCTGCGGCAAGTCCAGAGAAAGCTGAGCAGATCTCCTTGGGCCACATCTTCCAACACCATGTAGAGTGGCAGCTCTTCTGTGCAGCATCCTTCAAGGTGCACCAGGTTCTTATGCTTCCCCAAGTGCTGATAGAATTGGATTCTCCCTAAGAAATCTCGTACTTCATGTAGCTCAGCTGGCTCTGTGGAAGACAAATGAGCCAGAAGCAGTGAGTCGTTAGAGCATAGCTAATAAATAGGAGGCATGGAACAGTAAGCAACCTCTCAAGGGGCCACAAAAGTCTGAGTGTACACAAAGGGTTTGCACAAAGGGAACCAATTATAGTGCAAATGATTCTTTGTCAAATGTAGCATAGAATCATAGATCTTACCTATCTGCTAAACAGAGAAACATTATGGTAAAATTAAAATATTATCTTTGTTTAGGATGCTTGGTTAACATTTAACCATAGCCTTTTCTATGTATCCACTATTACTGATCCATATAATGAGAAATCGGGGAAAGTAATTAAAGAGTGATGAAAAAGAATGAACTTAAGAATCTATAAGAAACATTCAATATAAAGAACCCAGTTCTAGCAAAAAAAAATCACCTACTTTATGGTAGGCACTGTTCTCAGCATTAAAAACACAGACAAAGTCTATGAAAATTACTTTCTAAGTAGTAAAGAGAAAAAGTAGACAATAATAAATTATATGGCAAATATAGGAAAGAAATAGGAAGAAAAATAGGAAGAAGGATTGGCCAACCACTTCTGAAATAGCAGGCCTCTGCAAACCCTATTTATAAAAGAACACATGTAGATAACAGAAAGAGCAACTGAGGTTGAACTTTCAAGTATGCAAATACAAAGGAAGAGGAACAGTTGTAAGCAGACACTAGTGATTGGGACATGGAATGTGAGAACCATGAGTGTAAGAAAATTAGATATTGTTAAGGAAGAAATGGAA